GGAGTTTTTCTTTTGCTTTTCAAGGAGAGGAGCAAATGGGGCGGAGGGGGGAGGGGTTTGTGTGGGGAGAAGGGTGCAACAATGAATGAATGGAAATCCAAAGTCTCTAAATTTTCATTAAAATTAGTAATAATAAAAATTTAAAAAAGAAACAGTTCATTGGCAATAACAACAATGCCCATTGTCATTGTTTGGTATTCTCTCCCATTATCTGAAGTTCACTTGATAATGAACACTGCTGTGAATGCATGAGTTCAGTCGCAAGAGCATGTGAACATGAGATATAATTAAAGTAAAAGTTAAGGAAATACCAACACCTAGGCACATCTGGATAGCATTTTTGTGAATCCTTACAAATTATAAAGGATTGTTTAGCTCTTGTAGCCTACTGGTAAGGACTTGTGCTGCCAAACCAAAATCACCTGGTTCAAATCCATCAGCTGCTTTGGTGGGGATAAGATGGATTAATCTCTCCTGTGATTTACTGCCTCAGAAAACTCACAGGAGGGTCAGCTATGACTCAGTTTCAGCTCTGCAGTACACAACAACAACAACAACATTTAGATCTCAGTTTAGAGTCAGGGCTTTTGTATTTTTGTTGTTGTTGTTGTTACCTGTTACACAGCAGGTTTTCAGAGGCTGTAAATCACACAGGAAGACACTGCCCATACTTCTCCCACAGAGCAGCTAGTGGATTATCCTATTCTTGAGTTGGCAGTGTAACTCCTTCCCACTAGACCACCAGAGTTCCCTTTTATGTCTGTAACCAATGTTAAAAGGCTCACAAAAGGAATTCTATCTGAGAATTTAAAAGGGCATGTACTGGAAAGATAGATTTAAAGATCACTAAAAACAAGGAAACCCTCAGCCTGCCACGTGTAGATCTCAACATTATTCCTCAGCTTGGCTGGGTTATGATTCTCAGTGGTCTGAAAGATAACTGACTAGTTATACTTCCACCATATAATATATTCACTTTGTATGATACGATGTAATCAACCAATTATATGAAAGGGAAGTTTTATTTATGCTGCCTACAGTATATAAATGGATGTTCTAGCAGAGCTTGCTTGCTCTGGACATTCATTGCTCTCTACCCTGCATTATTCTTACCATTTGATGAGACATAAGTCTGCAGAAATTTCCAGCAAGCTGTTTGATCTTCAGGTTTTGGATTCACTATCCAGACCCCAAAATTGCTGAGCTATTTCTTTGAAGGAAATAAAGTGCTCTTGTGTGCATGCTTTCTATTTCTCTCTCTGTGCATGTGTGTGTACAAATGCACACACACACACACACACACACAATCACATTTAAATGATAAAAATATGTCTCAGTGGTTTTATTCCTCTAGTACTGCATCCTTTCCTGTCCAAGGTCAAAGCTGGCAGGGTTAAATGGTTTCCTGCACACAATAAACCATGAAAGTAATTTTCAATTTGTGGTTGGTCATAGCTCTCTGCTTATAACCTTAGATTGTTGTCCTTTAAAGCTCAATTTTATTATAGGCCTATTTATAGCATATTTTTTAGGTTCATTATAAACTATTTTCAAACTCTCAAATTAAAACTTAGCAGAAGAATATGACTCCTTGAGACCCATTTAAATAAAATTTAAAAATATTTTTAAATAAGCATTTCAAATGGAGGCAATCATCACAATATTTCCCTAGTTATCTGAACATGGAGGACCTTCCAGGAGCCAGAAAAATAACACCTTTCATTTGTAGTTCCACCTCAACTTAGCCTACCTGGAGTGTCCAAAGAGCAGAGAAAGCTGTCCCCAATGCAAACCAAAGACCTGCCTTGCTGGCTGAGTGGCCAGTAAATATAATTACAGGACACCCAGGTACATCTGAATTTTAGATAAGCAACGAATGACATCTCATGTTAAGTCCTACATATTAGTTGGGACATACACATATTAATTATTTATTATTTTCTACAAATACACTTCTGACTGGGTTTCCTCAATTCTAGATAAGTTCTGATCCTCTGTGGAATCTGGGATGGACGGAAGTGGGTGTGAATGTACTCTAGCCACTAGCCTAGGAAGACAGAACACTGCTAGCTCAGGCCTGGTGTTCTTGCTGGTTCATGAAACAGCCTTTCCCTTTCTCTCCTCCTTCACCCACTTTGACATTGCTGGGGGTACTGCCAGACTACCCCACTCCAATTCTCATCACTTCCTTTAGAAGAAGTTTCTCTGTCATTTTATGATAGTCAGTCACTTCACAGCACTTCCGACCCTGACTACTTCCCCTACAGACAGGGGAGAGATGTCCTTAGCAAGAGTGTCCTCTCCACAAGCTGGGGCCTCATGCGCAGTTCCGAGCTGCATGTGGCTTCGGAGGCACTTTAGATTGGAATTTCCTCTCATCTTTTCTTTTCTCATTGTCTTAGTTTCATAGTGCTGTTATACCAGAAACACCACAAGCAGGTGGCTTTCAGCAACAGAATTTTACTTCCTCACAGCCAGAAAGCTGAAAGCCCAAGTTCCAGTACTGGCTCTCGGGATGCCTCACTTTATCAACTCTGAGGGGAGATACTTGCCTTGATTTCTTTAACCTGGTGCTCTCCAGGTCCTTAACAATCTCCTTGTGATACACTTCCCTTTGTGTAGGCCTCTCTCTGTGTCTAATCGGCACCTAACCTAAAAGTGCTGAGGCTTAAGCCATACCCTACATGGCCCTGAATATAACAAAGGAAGTCCCATTCCGAATGGGACTGCATCTCTGTATGTTCTTGTCGTTAGGTGGAGTACAGCTTTTCGTGACCTTGTGAACAACAGATCTGAACTGCTCCCTGACCTGCTCCTCTTCATCCCAGCACACTTGAGTCCATTGTCACCGTGTCAATCTGTCTTGTTGAGAGTCTTTCTTCCTTTTGCTTATCCTCCACCTTTCTAAGCATGATATCCCTTTCCAAGGTTAGGATTCCAACATATATTTTATGAGGACTAAATTAAATTTATAACATCTATATTGAACCTTTTCAATCCCCTGTCCTGTATTCAGAAACTGACAAGGCACTGCATCGGTTCACTTCGTGCAGATGGGGCTTTGAAGTCAGAATTGAAACCTGAGCTAAAACAAGATTAAACAAACTCATCCTCCTGCCCCCTAGGAGTTCTCAAGGGCTTTGCCTTCTGGGTACTGCTTGAGCCTCACATTTGGCACTAGGGACCAGCAGACTTGCCTGCATTGCCCTCTATAATGTCACACAGACTGAACTTAACAAGGACGAAAGAGCTCCTGTCCCAGCTCTCTCCACATGTTTGTACTAAAACATTCCCAGCTTGGTTATACAGTGCTGGAAATAAGGCAGAAATATGGACATGACAATAACATGAGAGTAACTGTAGAAATTCCATAATGATCCTTTTCACTGGGTGAAAAGAAAATGAGTATTTGAGGCCAAATTCATTTACTCTGCCGAATATTGCAATTTAACCTTGGAAGCCTAAAATGGACTCTTTCCTTTAACCTTCCCACCTTTAATGCTAGAGATGCCAGAGATGGAGGATGAATCTTGTGTCTAGGGCTGAATGTGGCTTCACAGTGGATGATCTAGTTTACTTTCTTGCCTCTACATGGAAAGCAAAAAATGAGCTCTGGTGTCAAAAGTGTTGCTCAACAGCATTTGGAGAGCATTGTCACCTGTGTAAACATTCCCTTTAATAATCCAAAATGCAGCTTCCAAGACCATGAGACAACTACCTTCCAGAGCAAGGCACTGGGGAGGGCTGGCAGACCAGATGAGGCTATGCAGGCATTCCAGGTACTCGGCACCCTCCATCTTAAAGCCGGGGAAGCAATGGTAGGAGATCACAGCCCCCACGGGGAAGGAGGTCTGGTACTCAGAGATGTTCACGTAGCCATTGGAAGAGGCCAGTGGTCTCAGGCAGCCTGGGAAATGGACAAGAATAAAGGGAAAGGTCACCCTTCAGTTAAGAAACTTGTCACACTTTCATCTTTGTAGCTCCAGGACCCCAAGAACACTGAGACCCCGTAGGAATCCCCCTCTGTGAAAATTCACTGACTCTCAAGCTATGGATGCTTTCCTCATTTTGTTTGCTACTGATGTGCAAACACTCAAACTCATTGACATTGAGTCAGAACCCACTTGCAGCTGACCCTCCATAGAGCTTCTGAGGTTGTAAACGACACAGGAGAAGAGTGCTTATCTTTCTCCTGAGAAGCCACTGGTGGTTTTGAACAGTCAGCGAGTCATGGAATTTGGGTTAGCAGCACAGCTCCCTGCCGGCTACACCACCAGTTCTCCCATTACAAGTTCTGTATCATAAGGTCAGCTCTGACTTACTACAGCCCTATGGACAAAAGAATAAGGCTCCATCCAGCCCTGCTCTAGCCTCACAAGCACTGGTATGTCTGAGCCCACTGAGTCCCTTCGCGGAGGCTGAGGTTCATGGGACCAACAGTGCTTTGCACTGTTTCCACATGTCTGTGAGTGATCTGTATTTTAACAAGTCCTCAGATGTATGCCAATGTAGGACACCTACTACATCATATAAACTTAAGCAACTGGTCAAGGGAAGCTGATCTGCAGAAGATCAAAGACTGCAGCCTTCAATATGAATTGTATCCCAAGATCACAAAAACTAAAATTCTCCCACTGGACTGACAGGCAACATCACGATAAACGGAGCAAAGATTGACATTGTCAACAACTTCCTCTTACTTGGATCCAAAAATCAATAGCCTTGGTACCAGAAGTCAGATTAGGAGATCAGTCAAGGATCTCTCCAAATTATTGAGGAGCAGTGATGTTAGGGTGAGGACTAGGTTTGTCTGCTTTAGGTCATGGTCTTTTCAACCACTTGTTAGGCATCTGAGGGAGGTCTGGTGGCATAGGGGAAAAAGCTGTGCTGCAATCCCAAAGGCATGCAGTTTAAGCTCTGCAGAAGGATGCACAATCTCCTTCCGTGCAATTAACCACCTCTGAAAATCCACCGGAGGGTGAGCCATGGGTTGGTTCTAGCTCGATAGTACACAACAACAAGCAATGCATCTGAGAGTTGGACAATGAATAAGGATGACAAGAATAACTGATACCTTCAATTGCTGGTGCTGGAGAAAAGTACTGACTATCCTATGGAGTGCCAAAAGAACAAAGAGGTGAGATTTGTAGAATGTCAGCCAGAGTGCTCAATGGAGGCAAAGGTGATAAATAAAGCTTTAGCTCACATACTTTGAGTATGTTGCTAGGGGAGAGCTATTCTTTGGAAAGAGACATGTTTGGAAAGGTAGAGAGCCAGCAAAAATGATGAAGATCCTCAACTAAACAGACTGACACAGTAAACCACATCAATAGGTTCAAGTGTGCCAGAGCTTGTGAGGATGGCACAAGATAGAACAGAGTTCAGATCTGTTGTTCATAGGGTCACTGTGGGTTATACTCGACTTGACAGCACCTACCACCACCACCACATTATAAGGATCTCACCTAGTTTACATGAAACACATCTGGATTTCCCAAGTATGATTGTATCTTTTGAAGGATTCATCTGTTCCATGACTGTCTACAGTGAAACTGTATTTGTATCATAACCTTCCCTAGCCACCCATCACCATCATCAGGCCATTTCGTTCCTCTTGTGGCACCTAAGTCATTCTCAACCATGGTTTATTAGAATTCCTTGGGAGTAGTTCCTTGATTTGGAGCTTTAGGACAATGGTTTCAAGGTACGTTCCAATTAATTGGTCTAATAATTTGTGTCGAAGCTCTGGTGGCTTAGTGGTAAGGAATTAATTGCAAAGGTACATGGTTCAAATCTCCAGATGCTTGTAAAGAATAAAGATGGGCAATCTTCTCCTTCGCAATTTACTGCCTCTGAAAACCCACCGGGGCGTGTGTGTTAGCAACGGATTGGTTCTGACTTGATGGTACAATGTGCTTAGTTCTTCTTTTCTAGCTTCCAGCTCATTTGCTAGTACCCTAAAAGCTTTCAAATGGTCATCTAAGGTGTGACAACTGACCATGGAGCAACAGGGAAAGAAAGCTAGGTCCTATCAGTTGTCATTAAGTCGACTCCAACTTATGGTAATCTTATGCATTTCAGAGTAGAAATTGTAGTCATATGGTTTTTCAACTAAGGATAACAGAAGAATCGATGCCTTTGAACTGTGGTATTAGAAAAGAGCACAGAATATCCCATGGCCTACCAAAAGAACAAGCAGATATGCCTTGGAAAAAGTGCAACCAGGGAGCTCCTTGGAGGCAAGAATGGTGAAGCTTCATCTCACATACTTTGGGCATATTGTTAGGAGGGGCCAGTCCTTGGAAAGGACACTATGCTTGCAAAGTGGAGGCTCAGCTAAAGAGAAGAAGACCTTTGACAAGGTGGATTGACACAGTGACTGTCACAATGGGCTCTCACACTTCAGGATGGTGAGGGCAGCACAGCACGGGTCAAGGTCAGATCCACTGTGCATGGGGCTGTTATGAGTTATATTCAACTTGATGTCACCTAACAACAACATGGATTTTGGTCGCTGAGTTTTTCCAAAACAGATCAAGCAGTCATTTTTTCCAGGGCACCTTTGTGTGAGCTTGAACCACTAATGTTTTAGTTAGCATCTGAGTGCATTTACTGAAATTTGCAGGCACTCCTTTGTAACACATTAGCTTCTTTGCTTCCTCTAAGTCTGAGCAGCCAGGAGAACATCTGCAGTAACACAAAATTCTATTTTCTGTGGCTTCCACTGTAATCATGGGACTTCCCACTGACTTCAGTAATTTCACCGGAGGGAATAACAACACTGCAGAGATGGCGTATTTGCAAGGGAGAATTAATTATGTGTGAAGTAAATAACATGTCATGAAAATTCCTGGTTTCCTTTCTAACCATCAAATACAGATGATATCACATACACAGTAGTAGATGAACAAACCTTTCTTCAAGGCCAAACTTTGTCTGATATCTTATCTTGAGAACTCTCAACAGATTGCCAAGAATTAGCAACACATTTTAAATATGTCCCAATGTGGGTGGGTTTGCTTATCCCAGGAATTCTTGGGAGGTACAAAGAGTTAACATACTCAGCTGTCAAGTGAGTAGTTAAAGATTCAAGTTCAAGTATGAATATTCTGGAAAAGAGTCCTGCAATCAACTTCTAAAACCCCTCAATCTATTGAAAACCTTATAGAGCTCGGTTCTAGTCTGACACACGTGGGTCACCATGAACTGGAGAGTTGATGTGCCCATCAGGGTAAGACCAAGGTGGGCCAAGCCCCAAGGCTGCCCCCTTAGGAAGGGCACTGAGTGCTAGAGCCTGTACTGCTGTGTGCAGGTTCCCCAGAGATCTGCAGATACAACTGCCCACTGTCCTGAATCAGCCTACATCTAGGTCTCAGGAGCAGGCAGCGCCTGGAAACACAGAGCTCATGCCATCTGTCCAAACAGCCACCATCATCTTAAACAACTTATTGATCTTTGTTGGAGACGAAAACGAACAATGATCATGGCCAGTATGTGAGGAGGATGGGAGATAGAGATAAACAGAATCAATAATCTGTGGGTGGAGGGAATAAGCAAATGAACGCTAACCGGTAACTGTTTTAGACCCATCCACACATTTAAAAGCTGGCTATAAACCTGGTAGGTAGGCCCTGCCAAATAAACTGGCTGCCCGCCACACAGCTCAGCGCAACTTCATGGCCAGGAGGTCTCAGGCACTGAGCTCCTACACAAAGGGTCTCAGAGAAACAGTAGCCATGGAAGAGACCCCTACTCTCCCCCTAAGGAGATGGTTGTTACATTCCGTTGAGTCAGAACTGACTCATCCCTGACTCTTTTCAGAGGCTATACATCACAGTTAAATCTGGTGGCCTAGTAGTAAGAAGCTGCTTAGAGGCCTATGGTTCAGATCTACCTGCTGCTCCATGGTAGAGGGATGGACAATCTCCTCCCATGTGATTTACTACCTCTGAAAACCTAAATGACCTGGAAGGTCAACTATGGGTTGGTTTCAACTCGATGGCCCACAACAACATACATCACACAGGAGGAAACTGCCTGTGTTTCTCAGGCAGAGCAGGCAGTGGATTAGAACCACGTGCCTTTGGATTGGCAGCGCAGCTCCTTACCACTAGGCCATCAGAGCTCTCAGAAGGAGATGGAAGGGGCTATAATTAATGGAGTTAATCAGAGAAGAGGAAAGTTCTGCTTACTCTTGGTTGGAGACATCTGGTCCTAAATGCAAAACTTATTTCCTCTCAGCAGTTCAATATGATTTCTACACTTCTAGAGAATAGAGAAAAGGCTCCTCAGGCTTCAGCTCCTGGATCTATAGGTGCAAATGAAAGTTACAGAATAAAATGTCACACTAAGGGCCAATTATATTCTCCCTGGAGGTTCAGGGAGGTGTCACTTCTTCAGCCTGATTGTCTCACATTCTGTGATAAGTAGTGGGGGAAGGGGAGCTGGTGCATCAGCCATTCTGGCTTCAGTTCCTGCAAGTAAGATTCCAACTCCTGCCCAAATGCGGCTTTAGACTAAAAGTTGGGTTTTTTTTAGCCACTTAGTATCTGGTCTCCAGCTACTTAACTGCAGACATACATTCTTGCAAATCAGCATGGTCCTACAAATCAGTGTCAGCTGTGGGATTAGGATAAGTGAAGGAGTGCTTTCTACATTAAGTAGCAAGACTTGAGCTGAGATAGACTTGAAGAAAGACTTGAGGCAAGCAAGGCTGCTGGTGGCAAGACCCAGGTGAGAGTGAGACCTTGGTGGTGGAGAGACTGTGGCATTGCTGTGGAGAAACTGTGGCAAGGTGTGACCTGAGGCTTCTTGTATTTTTGCTGGCCACAGTTGGATTTTGCTGTTCTTGCCTTTGATGATGGAAGGAAAAATGCTTGCTGAATTGAAACCAGAGCCTTGCCTGAGGAGTTGTGGCTTGAAACTGTTGGGATAAACCCTGGACTTATTTTGGGTGATATTGTGATATTCTTCTCCACTCTCCTCTACTCTCCAACTTCCTTCCCTAATAAACCCCATTGTTGGTACCATAATTTTAAGGCTGTGAGTCAGCAACAAATAAAAGAACTCCTTGCTGTTAGTGGGGCTGTACAAGTACCATGGGACTGGGCTATAGATTCTTTATCTGTTTTCTGCTCTTGGACAGCGAGAGGCTGTGTTATTCTCATTCCCTGTGTCCCTTTCAGAGAGATGCTTATGGTCCTGTGTCCCCTTGTCCCATTTCCCCCTCAAACAGTCAGCTGCAGAATGGACCCCTGTGGTCCACAGGGTTTCACTGGCTGGTTTTCACAAGCAGATTACCAGGTCTGTCTTTCTAAACGTCCTTGTCTGGAAATTCCTGTTCAGCATCATGACCACAGACAAGTATCCACCGACAGAAGGCTGGTGGCTGTGTGTTAGGTGCTTTGACTGGGAACCAAACTGCATGCTGTTGCTGTTGTTAAGTGCCCTTGAGTTGACTAGGACTCATAGCAACCCTATGAACAATGGCTCTGAATCTTGCCCTATCCTGTGCTATCCTCACTGTTTTTTATATACTTGAGTCTATTGATATAGTCACTGTGTCATTCCAGGTTGTTGAAGGTCTTCCTTTCTTTCTCTGATTCTCCACCTTTCTAAGAATGGTGTGTTTTCCCAAGAACTGACCCCTTCTAACAACATGCTCAAAGTATGTGAGATTAAGGTTCATCATCTTTTTCTCTAAGGAGCACCCTAGTTGGACTTTCTTCCTCTGTGACATATGTGTTTGTTCTTTTGACAGACCATGGGATAGCGAGTTCTCTTCACCAACACCACTAAAATTCAAAGGCATCAATTCTGTCATCTTTAGTCACTGTCAAACTTTCAGATGCATCACAAGTAATAGAAAAGATGATAGCTTGACTCAGGTGCACCTTAGTCTTTAAAATGACATCATTGCTCCTTAGCACTTTGGTTGTCTGTACAGAATATGAGAATTCTGCTGCTTCTTGTAGAAACACATAGGCTATTTTTTTTATGAGTAAATAATGATGGACAAGGGGAGATAAAAAGAACAATAGGAACTTTTAACTGAATTCTTCATGAGAACATGAAATATCTGTCACCATCCTGTTTTATTTAGGTGCTGTTAGGTTCCAAAAAAGTCGAGTACAACTCATAGCAAACCTATGAAGAAAAGATCTGAACTCTGTCCTATCTTGTGCTACCTTCATCTTTTCTGACACACTTGAGCCCATTGCTGCAGTCACAGTGTCAATCCATCTGGTTGAAGATCTTCCTTTCTTTCACTGACTGACCATACACATTTTCAAGCAATATAACCCTTTCCTAGGATTAGCCTCAGAAGATGTCAAGATTTTCCTATAGCATCCCTAAGCATTGCAACTCAAGGCTTGCATTTGCTTTTCAGTTTTATAGATTGAGGAATGCTGAGTAAGTTCTTCCCTTTTTATTCTCCAACTCTAGGTCTCTGCACATTTTATTATAGTAGTTTGCCTTGTCTTCCTAAGCAGCCTTTTGAAATCTTCAGTTCAGTTCTTTTATTTCAGCATCTCTTTCCCTATTTTTTGCCTCTTGATGCTCTAGTGCAATATTCAGGGTCTCTTCTGACATCAATTGACTGAAGCTGTCAATGACTTCACCTTACTTGTATCCACAATCAAAAGCCTTGGCATCAGCAGTCAGGAGACTAGGAGATGTGCTGCACTGGGAAAGCCTGCAGTCAAGGACTTCTCCAAATTACTGAGGGGCAATGATGTCAGTTTGAGGACTTAGGTGCTCCTGATTCAGGCTATGGTCTGGAAGGGCTGGCTGGCTTTGCAGCCCTGGGTAGGTACAGGTCTATTTGTGATTTTCAACCACAAAGTGAACAGGCCAGTCGTCTTGGGGTAAGTAACTCTGCTCCCGTCTTCTTGGAATGAGTTATATATTGACTCCATCCTTTGGTCTAATTCACATGTAAAAAAAAATCCCCCAAAACTACCACCGCCACAATAAAAACACACATCACAAACAAAAACAAAAACAAAAACAACCCAGAATGGATGTGACTCTAGGGCTTATTTTCACAAACAGGGCCCTTGGAGTTGGGCCTGGCAAATTTTAAAAAATGCAAGAGGATAAATTATCACTGTGTGGATTGGATGAAATTTGAATTTGATTATTTCTTTCTGCTCTTCTGTGTGTTATGAAAAAGTGATAACATTATTAGAGGAAAATAGCCCCTGTAAATTTGGCTTTAACTGTATTTCCCTCACTACTGAAATAAATACACAAATGTGTGGCTATTCCCATTACATATACAGCCTAGGTGCAAGTCTCCTAATTCTTAAACCACTTTTGGGTTGGTTTTTTTTTCCTCACAAAGGAAGCATTCACCATGCTAAAGAAGAGGACACCTCTCTCTGTTTTAAACTGTAAAACCAATGAATGTTGTTGTGTACTGTCACCCAGAAGCAGTTTAATCACATGGGAGGAGACTCCGCCCCCAGAGGAGTTGGTGGATTTGGGCTGTGTACCTCTGGAATTGCAGCACAGCTCCTTACCATCAGGCCACCAGAACTCCCTAAAAAGAATGGTAGGATGCAAATGACAGGGAGTGATGTGCAGTACAAGAACAGAGCTTTGACAATCACTTTCGTCTGCAATAAAATTTGAGTAGCAAGCGCTGTGGCGTCTGTACCTACCTTGACAGATGGGCAGATTATCCCACGTCCCATCATCGCGACACAATGACACCACATTGTAGAGGTCAGGGTAACGGATCTTGAATCCCTCATGACAGGTGATGATTAACTTGTCTCCATGCCTATAAGTTTTGTTGTGAATCTCGGCATCTTCGATTTGAGGGATGCGGCAATCTGCAATTTTGTAAAATGCACACATTAAGAGGGTGCAGATAGTCAAGCACTTGGCTGTGAGCCCAAAGGCTGGAGGTTCAGAGCTGCCTGGAGATGTTTTTGAACCTGATTATTCACTTCTGAAAGGTTACAGCTTTGAAAACCCTAAGGAGCATTCTACTCTGCACTTGTGGGGTTGCCCTGTTTAGAGGTGACCCAACAGTCACTGGTGATAGTGATACTGTTGTTGTGTACCATGATGTAGGAACTGAACCAGAGCCGACTCTCCAGCAGGTTTTCCGAGTCAGTTTTAGTGCAATGGAGATTGTCTTTTCCCTTTTTTCCCCTCGGAGCAGCTGGCTGGTTCCAGTGGCCGGCCTATTGGGTAGCAGGGCAGACAGTTTTGGTTGAGAGCTTCCCTGGAAAGGTCTTATTTCAGACCTGGTCTCAAGCTACACAGCAACCTGGTCAGACGGGCCCTTATTTATCACTGACATGGGGGCCAAGAGAGAACAATAGATCAGATAACAAAAGAGCTCTATTTTCCACACGTGACACTTCACATAGCGTAGGCGATTTTAGGGACAATTATGGAAAGAAGTGAGAGACAGCAAAGGCTGGGTCAGATACATCCAGCCCAGGTGTCACTCTGTGCTGGGTCTGGGGCCTGCCCAGTTATTAGCTGGTCCTCTGGAGTCGCTCCACCCACACTTCTGGAGTGTGCTTCTGGAGCCTAAAGCTTTGTGGTATAGAAGGTAGTATTTCCCACCTACCACATTTGGTTTTAAAAAGATGGAAAAGTACAGTACATCTTATTGCCCATGTCACAAAGGCTCAGAGCAAGCAGTATACTACCTCCTGGAAAGAGGCAGCATACAAGAGAGGAGGAGGCTTAGCTTGAACCCAGGCACAGGGTGGAGAAGAAGCAAGGAAGCACAGCAGTGAACACATCCCATAACTACCCACTTCTGCTCCCTGTGGTTGCCCTTCTGAACCAAAAAGCACTGCTAAAGCCACTGACGATTGAGCTATGCCTGCTACAGCCCCCACTGGGTGTCCGAGGCTGTGAAACTTTCCTGTGGGGTGACTGGTGGATTCAAACTGCAGATGGCCACATTGTAAAGTGGTAACCAAAAGCAGCCAATGTCCACTCCAACTCCTAGTGTTCCTGTGGAGGTTCTTTCGTAAGTCATTCACCAAGCCTTTCTTCTTTGTCACTTCTGGGTGCGCTCAAAAAGCCAATCTTTTAGATAGAAACTCAGCACATTAACCATTGGATTAGCAGTTCAATGCTTAACCTACCACATCACCAGGTTTTCCTGTGGTGGTAGTTGTAGAATTACTACCTTAAGTCTGCAGTCAGGGGCCTCTCCAAATTACTGAGGAGTAATGATGTCAGTTTGAGGACTAAAGTATCTCTGATTCAGGCCATGGTCTTCCCAATCACTTGCTATGCATTGGAGAGCTGGACAATGAAAAAAGATGAAAGAAGAATTGATGTCTTTGAACTTTGGTGTTGGAGAATCCCACTGAACTGACAAAAGAACAGACTGATATATCCTGGAGGAAGTGCAGTCAGAGTGCTTTTTAGAGATGCCGAAGCTTTGTCCAAATACTTTGGCCATGTTGTTGTTGTTGTTATGTGCTGTTGAGTCACTTGTAACTCATAGGGACCCTATGTACAACAGCCCTAAACCCGGTTCTATCCCTTGCCAATCTTATTGTCTCCGACACACCCATCCCCATTACCCCAATCACTGAATCAATCTATCTCATAGAGGGTCTTTCTCTCCTGCGCTGTCCCTTCACCCTCCCAAGCATGTAGTCCTTTTCCAAGGACTGGTCTCTACTTGCAACATGTCCAAAGTATGTCAGATGGAGCTTCAGCATTCTTGCCTCCAAGCAGCAGCCTGGTTCCACCCTCTCCAGGACGAACTCGTTTGTTCTCCTAGCACTCCATGGTCTATTCAATACTCTTCTCCAACACCACAGCTCAAAGGCATCAACTCTCCCTAGTCACTGTCCAGCTCTCTGAAGCATAGCAAGTAATGGCAAAGACCATGGCCTGTGTCAGGTGCACCTTAGTCTCCAGATTGACACTGTTGTTCCTCAGTACATTAGAGATGTCTCTGACAGCAGACTTTCCCAATGAAATGAATCTCTTTTTTTTTTGGCATAAATAATTTTTATTTTTT